AGTTTTATTAAAGGAAATATCAGATTTTCTCAGGTGCCAAAACAAAATGTAACAGCCCTGTAAAGGCTCACCAGAGAGCATAACATAAAGTTAACATGACTATAACAGCTGAATGCGGTGATTTCCATGTTGCTCAGCAAAATGCTTCACAACTTTATTTAGATCCAATGCCTTTGTGCGTTTTGATTTGAGTTCAACCAAACTTGATTGTCTCTGTTCTGTCATAGTTGACCGCAAATATGTCTTTATGAGCCTGAGACGTCAGGCCTAACTAACATCATAGATAGAGAAATAACGTTCTGCAACCTGATTTTTATCATCTCTAAATCAGCATTGCAGCTATGCTAGCAACATTGTGCTTTCATGATGATTTCATTTCTCGATAGATAGTTAATCAATTTTTACCTGTTTCATCCTGTGTCTCCTCTCCCCATCACCGCAGGCTCCCTCGCTTTGCCCCGCTCGGTTTTCAAAACAATCAGTCTCAGTCGCTCTCGCGTCATCTCGTGCTGCATTCACTGCAGTCCGACATTGGAAATTAGCGGTCGTAATTCTCAAATGATCCATAATTTATAAGCCTGGCCACCCCTACTGCCAACTGGGGTGGCAGCAGGGGTGGCAAGGCTGTCATTTAGGGTGGCATTTGCCACCCTATGCCACCCCAGTAGATCCGCCTATGATGTTAAAATCCCCACTATGATGATGATTTGTTAGTATTTAACAAAATATCAGATAGGAACTTGGAAAGCTGAGTAAGGGCCCGGTGGACAATACAGTTACAAAAAGAAGGTGTTTTGTTGCTTTGCAATTTGGATGAGGGAAACTATGGGTTAAATTTTCACCAGAGTTGTAATTATTAACTAGCTTTGGAGTAATCAGTAAATCAATCTGAAAGTTTTTGGCTACTCCTCCACTTCACCCAGACTATAGTGGTTTGTGAAAATTTAATTAACTACAGAGAGTTGCTTCATTTATGCTCACATGATCCTCTTGCTGGAGCAAAGTTTTTGTAAGACAACATATATCAATTTGAATATTACAAATTAAGTCCATAACTAAAATACTTTTTGAAGAAAGGGATCCTATGTTAACTAAACCAATTGGAGCTATTTTAATTTTAATTAGGTAATCATGATTTACTACATGAGGATTCTTTTCCCATTTATTTGATTTTAGTCATGGGCAAGACCCTGTTTAGATGAAGAAATTAGTGCGTAACAGTAGAAAAGCTGCAGAGCGGTGTGTTAAACTATGACTGGAAGACTGATGATTTGGAGGACTAATAAATTTGTCCAGATCCCTAGAAAGAAGGGGAGCACCATCCAAAGTGGGATGGATGCCATCTTTCCGTATCTCCCTAAGGATTGAAAATTATCAATGTAGCACATATCGTTTTCAGGACACCACTTAGAGAAACAGCGGTTGAATAACGACATGCAGCTTAACATGTCATCACTGGTCAGATCAGGGAGGAGACCTGAGAAAATTACGGAACTCGACAAAACGGAAAACTTACAAATGCTAGTTTTAGTGACCTCCGATTGGCACAGACCGGTGTCATTACCACAGTGTATTACTGTATTTAACCTTATTCTTAGCCAGCAGTTTCAGATAGGATTTGATATTGCCCATTCTATCCCCTGGCAAACATTTGACTATGGTCCCTGGTGTCTCAAACGCCATGGTCTGATTATGGAGCTGCCAATTACCAGAGTAAGAAAATCATTTAGAAACATGGACGGTTTGTTGGTGACCAGTAGGCAGAGATCACCTTCTGCGTACTGTTAACCAATCCCTTGGCTGCTCAGGCACTGTTGGAGGAATACTACGTAGAAGTGTCCCTTTCTTGGTGGCTCCAGGCTGTTAACAAATGGCCCTACACTCCTGAATAGATAGTAAAAGGCCAGGGCTCTAACACTAACACACTCACCTCCAAAGCTACAAAAATACTACATTTATTACACATACCATTATCAGTAAAGGAGGCAGAGAAATAATCAAACAGCTGACACAGGGAACAGTAGAAAGGACAGGAAGGTTTAGAAAGAGTCGGAAAAGAGCCAGGGTGAGGTAGAGAAGCCATGGCAGTGCTTATCCAGTGTTAACCTAGGCTAGCTACCCTTTACTACCAGAAATAAAACAATGTGAACGCTACAAGTACCCAGTAGAAAAGTAGAAGCTGTGTTTTGAAGTGCTTCTGGAAAGTGACTTTGAGACATCAAAGAGAAGACAACTAAGTGCAGACGGAGATGAACCGCATCACAGAATGTAGGTCAGCAGTTAAAAAAAGAAGTAAAAGCAATACGTCTCACCAAAAGCAGCACCTCAAAACAATCCACCACTACTAATTCTCATCAGTGTAGAGAATTTTCATGGAAAAATGTGTCAAGATAAATTATTTCTAAAACTGCCAAAATGAAGCAGAAAAAAAGCCTGAGTATGGTCATTGTTTAAGTAATTACTTTGTAATTACTTTGTAACTTCCACATCTTCTGGGACTGTCTTGTCATCAACTCCGACTGGAAAAAGGTTTTAATGCAATCAGATCCACTAAAACACTGACCCTTCATGTCATATAAAATTAAATATACCAGCTAAGCTCAGTAGAAGAGAAAGATGTAACCAAAAACTGGTAAAAAAAAAAATGGAAAAAAGATAGCTTGGGAGATCTATGACATGGGACCAATTAATTTTGCCCTAAGACATGCCAACAGAAGTTCATATAAGCAATACCCAATAAAACACTGACTACTGAATATCCTGCTGTAACTCATCTTCTCTTTAATCTATAGACATGTTTCTCAAATGGAAGTAAATTGGTTGAACAGAACAGTTCACCTATACGAAGCAGATTGTGACTAGAATTTACTCATTATTCATTAAATAAACAGTAGTTTATATCATGCTTTTCTAGTCATACCCACCAGTCAAATAGCTTTTTACAAAAGAGCCACATTCATTAAACTGCTATCATATTCATATGCTGGCACACAAATCAGTATTCAACTTGTAACTAAGTCTTTCGAACAGGGGCACATGATCATGAGGGAGGGAGATAGAATCTTTATGTTGCAGAATAAAAACTTCTCAATAACCCACAGTCAACCATTCTAGTAACAAGGGCTGGGTATTGTTCAAAAATTTTCGGTTCCGGTACCAATACCGATACCTTCACTTCGATACCGGTTCCTGAACGATACTTTTTTCGATACCAGTTTTATAATATCAATTCGAAAAAAAAGAAAATTACACAACATAAAAAAGTACAAATCTTGAGTTTTATTTTAAGCTCTGTTTTTCCATTTACATTTTTCCTCTTACATAAAAAAAAAATCATTGTCTAATATTCACTGTTACATTGTGAGGACCTTTTTACTTAGCAGTTTTCCTTTAGAAAAATTACCATGTCTGACAAACAAGCCCGTTGAATGGGATCCTACTGACAGCGCACCGCTGGTATGTGGGGGTCTGAGCGGCTCCGACAGAAATATTGGAAGGCAGGATGAACTGACTGCACTGATTAACTTTTCAGGTGGATTTTCCCACTTAAAAACATGATAAAACTACTTTATTCCCACTGATCACAGCAAATATAGCTGCAAGGCAAATAAAGGATAGAGTAGCTCCGCCTAACGCGCGTCAGAGCCACTTTTCAACCGCGCAGCCAGAGCAGCAAAGCTTCTTCAGCCGCGTGTCAGAAGTTGGTACAAGCAGCAAAAAAGGAAGCAGCAGACGCGATTTTGCTGCTCCTGCTGCGTCCAATTTGAAAGCAGCATAATTCACTCCGCTCTGGCTTTGCACTGCCCACGGGCTGATGAGAGGAGGATGGTCGCGCTGGCTGCGGTCCGCTCTTCTTGCAGTCAAACACCGAGTAACTTTCTGCTCTTAAATTATTTCCGTGCACGATGTATTGCATTGCGCACTATTAGCATCAGTCTTAATGAAGTGAAGCCGCACTTTTGACCTGGGGGGCATTTTAAAGGGGTTCCGCGACGCTCACAACCAGTTCACAACAGATACACATGAACCCTGGCTGTAGGCGGGACCACCTGTGTATTTTTCCTGGATGACGCAATCACGTTAAGTGTTACAGCCAATCACCGAAACTTGGTACCGAAAGACCAGGCATGTTTCGATACTCTGTAGAACCGAAGCATTTCGGTCGGTACCATAAAAGTACCGAAGTTCGGTACCCAGCCCTACTAGTAACATGTACTTGAACAGGTGCTACTTTCCCATTTCAGGTTCATTAGGTAGCCCATTTTAAGTTCAAATTAGTGTTTTATTTAATAAATGATAAGGTGGTCCAGTGGGTAATGCAGTTGCCTAACAGCAAGAAGGTTCTCCATTCAATTCCCAGCCCAGGGTCTCTCAGCATGCCTTTGCTGCTTTTGGTGTGAACGTAGCAGAAGTCAGTGATTGATCACCAGATGGCTAAACTTTTTACTCTGAGCTTAAATGTCCAACAGAGGTGATTAAATGGTTATAAGCCTGAAACTGTATTAATGCAGCCTAGAATTGGGGATGTGTTTTCGCCCTTTCACTGTCAAATGCTTTACAAATGAAAGAAAAACAGTTGAAAGAATTTGCCTGAACAATGGCTGCCTCACAAAACTCAAATGCTGGATGAATAACAATATCCTGCAAAAGACTCCTACGTCACTTTCAGACAAAAAAAGAGAGCAAACAGGAAAGAGAGCAATTAATACAGTGAGTGTGAAACTTCCAACCTGCATCGCAGCTTTTGCACAGTGGGGGATGGGTGTGAGTCTGAGCCTCCCTGAACAGCCACAGCTGCGTGGTCATGATGAGAGAGATGGATGGATGGATGGATGGATGGATGGATGGATGGATGGATGGATGGATGGATGGATGGATGGATGGATGGATGGATGGATGGATGGATGGATGGATGGATGGATGGATGGATGGATGATAGATAGATAGATAGATAGATAGATAGATAGATAGATAGATAGATAGATAGATAGAAAGATTACCTCGACAAAATAAAAGCAGGGCAGCAGAGTGACGCTGTCCTTGGTCTTCTTCCCCGCTTTCAGCCGCTCCTTAGCGCTGGACATAATGAGCGGCCGGGGGTCTCCCACGGTAGCGGGAGACAGTGAACTGTACTTGATTCTCGTCCCAATTTTGACGAAATTCGTGACAAATCCCTGCTGGCACACCTCAAGACCTGCTGAAATGAAAGCCCTACAGACAAACCTCCTTCATTTGACAGAGTGAATAGGAGGATGAAGGATCGCTGCTTAAGGACGATATCATCTCGGACTGTGGGACTCACAGTCCTATATATATCCGCTGCTGCACCGATTCTTCAATTTTTGTCTTTAATTAAAAACGAAATCATGTCACTTCGTCCACCAATCATATCCAGTCCGTGTGCTTTCAGTAAAGTCAAAACAAAAACCGTTCATTCAGTCATAAAGCTTCTCCTCCGGCAGAGATGCTGCGCCGCTTCCGCTCTGCTGCAGCAGGTGGACAGCGCTACCAACCAAAACAAGTCACACATCCTGTCCGGATTTCAAAATAAGCTTATACTCCCTCATCTTTACTAGACTGAGAGCAGACAGGGCCGGCGATTGCTACAGGCGAGCTAGGCAATTGCCTAGGGCGACAAATGTGTTGGGGGCGCCCTCTAGCGTCGCCCTTAGGCTTACTTCCCATTAATCATAGAATTAGAAAAAAAAGCGAATTAAACCGGTTATGAAGCGTTCGTCAGTTTGACTTAACCTTACGTATATATAAATAGCAAAATATGAACAAATAAATATACCACCGTTTTTTTTTATTTATTTTTTCACATTTAAGAGAAAATCGCAAAAGATTCTGATCACTTTTCAAGCGCCCTCCAACCCGGAAGTCGTGACGTCAATCACTGCAGCATGTACACCAATATTTTGGAATGAAATTGTAAGCAAACAGATATTAAAAGTAAAACAAGTGAGGTCTGGCAGTTAACTTAGCTCGCGACTCGAGGATGGCTGAACGGAAAAGACTCCTCCTCCTGCCGCACCACAGTCGGGCCCGTCTTCATCATCCACTCAGAGTACCACTGGTGAGCGCACACAGACTTTGTAGCTTGTCCGGTCAGTTAAAAATATTAATTGTGAAATCCGTGTTGTAATCGGAAGCATACAAGCTAGTTAGCTTGAAAAGTAAATAAAGTTTCAGACGTGCTGCGTAATGATGCGTTCAGATTGGCTCAGTAAAACAACAATTAGGTTATCATGATGCGTTCAAGTGTAACGTAAAGAAAACGGGAAATTTTGTTTTTGGCGAGAAACATGAGTAATACAGTTGTATATTGCTCTATATATAATTAAACTACTGATGCCAACATTTATTAAAAATTACATTTAATTTAAAATACAATTATTTATTTGTTAAATATTTTCCTAATCACTAAAAACATGATGAAAAGTGACAGTAGACAATACATTAACCAACAATTGTGAAAATATATTCTAGTTAGTTTTATGTCATTTCGAAGTGGCCTATTACTTTAGCCATGTTTATTGAAGGCTAGAAACGTTTTTGTTATGCTCACTTGTTAAGCAATAGAAGCAATACCAGTTCTGTTAAAAAAAATTTGTTGCATCGTCTTTCCACCAAATAACAGAAAAGTATCGATAGTGGTATCGATAAAGATTCGGATCGATAAGGAGTATCGATAAAGGTATTGATATCATTAAATATTAACGATCCCCATCCCTAATGTTGACATCATTTTTTTCTCAGTATATATGCAGCAGAATTATGTGCTATATTATTAGCTTGAGAATGGGTAGAAGATACTAATATAAATAAAATATTTTGTAGTGATTATCTGCATTGAGTATTCAAAAGGGATGTACAAATAATCATCAAAATATATGAAGTTATGGCTGTTCATCATAGAATATGTGAACAAAAAAAAAAAAACAACAACTTCAAACTTAATTTTGTAATGGTATTCATAAAAGCACTTTTGTTTGTAGAGGGTTAATCCTTTCTCTAATCACTAATCAATGTCTGAAATCAGGGTAAATATACCTGATATATTTTATTTAGAGGAAAATTTTGTTTATCTCATTTCTATTTATGTTCAAATGATTTAATTGAACTGGAACAGAAAATTAAATTTAATGTTTATCAATTACTTTTTTATGTAGTCCTTGGTTGAAGGATTTCTTAAATTTATTATTTTTTATTGTTATTTGGTAATTTCTGAAATTGATTTATTTAATATTTTTTTAATGTGTGTTAAATTTGTTAATCGTCTGAAATAAATTCATTCAATGATTCAATCCAGTTTTTTAGTTATACTTTACCTAAGTGTCCTTACAGATGGTTAAAAGTGTTTTTGCACAGTCCTAACTTTGAGTGTGTAATAAATTATTTAAAATAATAAAAAAGAAAAGGTACTGAAACCTATTCTGGTATTTGTCTATGCATCACTCCATGCTAAGTTACAGTTTTTTCTGAATGCTTAAACACAACCTTGATTCTTATAGCACAATTTCTAAAACTATTAATACTTATAGCAAATCCACTCACTGAGTTCACAAAACTAAAAGAACACTGCTTTGCACTCAATTTGCAATTTTGTAACACACACTTTGCACAACTGTAGGCACAATTCACCGCACAGCACTCTTTGTGGAACTGTAAACACAACTCAATGAAGCACTAAACAGATGCTGAAAACAGTACTGGTATTTTGCACGGCAAAAGTGAGGGGGGGGGCGCAAAACTCAATCTCGCCTAGGGCAACCAAAGGGCTAGAACCGGCCCTGAGAGCAGAGTAAAGGGTATGGAATGATTCACAAATTTTAAAAAAAATTTCAAGCTGTCCTAAATGTTGCGCACAATCACAATTAGTTTTACAAACAGGACTCTAACATTGCACTGAAAATATAATTTGTAAATTGTCCGCGAGTACAAAACGATCTCTGCTCGCTTACAAAACAGCCTCTCCTCTCGTACGAAACAATTCTTCACACTCCGCGGTAAGTGCTATGGAAGCAAATCGTTACCATATTTCAAATGAAAAAGCATTTTCAGAAAGGCTTTTTCATTTTAAGAATGTGGCTGCATTGTTTGACTCATAAATGAAATTAGTAATCAATCATCCTGTTTGCATTTTCATTTTCTTCTTTAACACTGCTCATCCTTTTAATTAAAGTGAAAAAGAAATTTGAAATTTATTTTTCAAAATGTACCCCAACAAATACATACCAAAACTCAATTTGAAATGTAAAATTTGAAAATGAATAGCATTTTCAGAAATGCTTTTTCCTTTTAAGAATGTGGCTGCATTATTTGACTCATAAATGAAGTGATTAATCAATCATCCTATTTGCATTTGCCTTTTTTTTGTAATATATATATATATATATATATAATATATATATATATATATATATTAACATAATAATATTATATATATATATATATATATATATATATATATATATATATATATATATATATATATATATATATATATATATATATATATATATATATATATATATAAATGGAACGCCACAGATAGCTGTCATAGTGTACAGGAACATCTGCCATGAGTATGGGCTGGAAGTCCCAAGATCAAAGTGGAAGACACCTCCTAAGGTAGTTGAGAATGACCGAGCTAAGATCCTATGGGACTTCAAGATCCAGACTGACAAACAGGTGATGGCTAACCTACCAGACATCGTGTTGATCGACAAACAGCAGAAGAAGGCAGTAGTGAAAGATGTGGCAATCCCAAGCGACAGCAACATCAAGGAGAAAGAACACGAGAAGCTTGAGAAATACCAAGGGCTGAAAGAGGAGCTAGAAAAGATGTGGAAAGTAAGAGCAGCAGTGGTGCCAGTGGTAATTGGAGCACTGGGGGTTCTGACCCCCAAACTGGGAGAGTGGCTACAGCAGATTCCAGGTAAAACATCAGAGGTCTCTGTCCAGAAGAGCACAGTCCTAGGAACAGCTAAGCTACTGCGCAGAACCCTCAAACTCCCAGGCTTTGTCCACTTTTTCCACCAGAGGGCGCACGAGATCTCCTGGCGGCATGAGCTGACTGCAACACCTGTCTTCCATCTGCTCATCAGGAAGCCCTATTTAAGGAGGAGGAGGCTAACACTTCCCTGCCAGAGTGTTTGCCAGTAATGGTAGAGCTAGACCTGAGCCAAACAACCAGACATGAATCTCTGACTTTTGTGAACCTGCCTGACCCTGTTTCTCTCTGCCTCACAGATTGAGTCCTGTCTGAAGACCTGAAATCCTGGAGAGTGATCTCTGTCTGGAATCTGCCTGCCTGCACTCAGTTAAGCCTCTGCCTTTGCCCTCAGCCCTCTGCCTGCCGACTAGCCTCTGGACCCTCAAGGTTCCCCCCCTGCAGCTCCGCTCCACCCTTGAGCAGGTATTAACTTCAACATCAGAAAACCTGCAGTTAACCTGGATCAACACTAACCTCTCTGTCCTCCTCAGTGGTGTTCCCCTCGTGACCAGTCTGCCGAACCAATGACCAGTTCATACTCATTGTATATTTTGTAAATAAACCTTTGAAATGTTTCCCTGTCTCACGAGTGTTTCTGCAATTCAATTCAATTCAGTTTATTTATATAGCGCCAAATTCACAACACATGTCATCTCAAGGCACTTTACAGTTCAACCAGATCATACAGTCAAATTGATACAAAGTTTTCTATCTAAGGAAAACCAGTTGATTGCATTGACTCAAATACAATCCCTCACACTAAGCATACTTGTAGCAACAGTGGAGAGGAAAAACTCCCTTTTAACAGGAAGAAACCTCCAGCAGAACCAGGCTCAGTGTGAGCGGCCATCTGCTGAGGCCGACTGGGGTTCAAGGAGACAGAAGCAGAGATACAAAAAGCAGCTGTAAAAGGCGGCCCCGTCCAGGAAACACACAGCCAGGCAGACAAGCTCCAAGGCAGCTCCCATGCCAGAGGACGAAGAGAACACATCCACTCAGTCACGGTCAGAGAAACAGGACCACACTGGAAAACAGGCCGATCTCCAACATCTATAAACAAGGGTGTTGATGGAAGCAGCACAGCTGATGTTTCTCTCCAGGATGACGTCACAGCCAAACAGGAACAGACGAGGCAAAGCTACTCTGAGGAAAAGCAGAGAGAGCAGAAGATTAGAGATTGAACAGATTCTGCAGAATAGGAGAACAGAGAGAGAATGAAGCAGAATGATGAAATGGGGGTCCCTATGTCCTCCAAAAGTCTAAGCCTATAGCAGCATAACTATAGAGATAGCTCAGGATAACCTGAGCCACTCTAACTAGAAGCTTTATCAAAAAGGAAAGTTTTAAGCCTAGCCTTAAAGGTAGACAGGGTGTCTGCCTCACGGACTAAAACTGGTAGTTGGTTCCACAGGAGAGGAGCCTGATAACTAAAAGATCTGCCTCCCATTCTACTTTTAGAAATTCTATGAACCACTAGTAAACCTGCAGATTGA